TCATGATGACAAACGGCCACAATAACCGCAAGAAGCTAGTGACCTTGCACATCGCCAAGCATGCCTTCAAGACCATTCATCTGCTCACAGGCAAGGACTCTCTGCAGGTCCTGGCGAACGCCATCATCAACGATGGTCCCTGGGAGGCCTCCGTATGCATTGGGTGAGCCAGGACCATGAAATGACAGGCTGTGGACATGTCCCCATTGTGCCGTGTAAATCAGGTCATCTGGCCGCTGTGCACAGGCGCTCATGAGGCTGCCTTCCAGAACAACAAGACCATCGCTGAGTGCCTGACTGATGAGCTCATCAGTGGCGCCAAGGGCTCCTCCAACTGCTCTGCCATCAAGAAGAAGGGGGAGCTGAAGGGTGTGTCCAAGTCCAACTGCTGAGTTTCCAGGCTGCTGCCCAATAAACCTGTCTGCACTTTGGGGCGGCCCCGCAAAAGAAAAAGAAAAAATATCTGAAACTGTTATTAAAATAGCAATTTGGTGTGCGTGCGTGTGTGTGGGGGGGGGGAGATGAGGTCTCACTCGACAGAATGACAACCCAGGCTGGAGTACAGTGGTACCATCTTGGCTCATTGCAACCTCTGCCTCCCTGGCTCAAGCCATCCTCCCACCTCAGCCTCCCAAGTAGCTGGAACCACAGGTGCAAGCCACCATGTCTGGCTAATTTTTTGTATTTTTGGTAGAGACAGGGTTTTGCCATCTTACCCAGGCTGGTCTTGAACTCCTGAGCTCAAGTGATCATCCCGCCTCAGCCTCCCAATGTGCTGGGATTAGAGGCATGAACCATTGCACCCGAAGGCAAAATTGTTTTTATTTAAATATTGTTAATTTATTTTTAGGGACAGGGTCTCGTTGTGTTGCCCAAGCTTGTCTTGAACTCCTGGCCTCAAGCAATCCTCCTGCCTTGGCCTCCTAAAGTGCTGGGATTATAGGCATGAGCCACCACATCTGGCCCCAAATAGCAAATTTCTTACAATTCCTCCAGAATGCCACTTAGCCTTACTCTTTACTAAATTTTCCAGAAGCCTACCAAGGCTGCCCTGTAGATTTCCTGAGCTGCCTGCTAGAGCTTAGGATAATGGGTTTTATGTGGGACCACTTCTACTTTTCTCTGGTTCTCAAGGGCATAGGAAAGGCCAGAGTCCACCAGATCCACCCCAGTGGAATTCAGAGAGTGGGGAATTGGGAATCATGAGCATTGGCCTGGGGCTTTCAGATGCCAGAGAATCCCCCAGTATAAGATAAAGGGTTATTTGGGGGGACAGCTGCTGTGATGGTTAATTTGATGTGTCAATTTGGTGAGGCTACATTACCCAGATAATTGGTTAAACATTATTCTAGATGTTTCTGTGAAGGTATATTGTAAATTAGATTAACGTTTAAATCAGTGGACTATGAGCGAAGCAGATTACCCTCTGTAAAGTGGGTTGACCTCATCCAATCAGTTGAAGGCCTTAGAAATAGAAAAAGACTGACCTTCCCGAGCAAGAACGAATTCCACCAGTAGACTACATTTGGGCTTTGCAGGAAGCCAGAGCAGAAAAGGAGGAAACTGTGATTTAGTGTTACTGAGGAAACCCATGCTCTGACAGATATGAAACACTCCTGGGAGGGGGTGGAGAGCATGTGGACTTTCTGCCATTTCAGGTAGGGTCAGAGTCTAAATAGATACATTGTCATGTGACTTTTGAGGTTCTGGTTTTAGCCTGAGACTGCTGTAGGGTGTATAGGGGAGGATAAAGTAGAAAATGCCTAAGGTGGGATCAGGGGTAAGGGAAGGTTTCCAGAAGGAGGTGGTATCAAAATTAAATCCTACATAAATTGAAGTTAGGTAAAGAGGAAGTAGTGGAATAAGGCAAGTTCACACAGTCACAAGTAGTTTTATAAAACCAGAGGCACATAGGGGAGGAGGATGGATAGGGTTAGTGAGAACTGAGGTTAGGGAATGTGTTGATCGTACTGTCCAGCTGGGTGTGGTGGCTCATCTCTGTAATCCCAGCATTTTGGGAAGCTGAAGTGGGAGGATTGCTTGAAGCCAGGAGTTTGAAAATAGCCTGGTCAACATAGCCAAAGTAACAAAATTATCTGGGCATGGTGGTACACACTGTAGTCCCAGCTAATCTGGAGGCTGAGGTGGGACAATTGCTTAAGCCGGGGAGGTTGAGGCTGCACTTGGCCACAGTCGCACCATGGCACTCTAGCCTGGGCAACAGAGTGAGAACCTGTCTCAAAAGGAAAAAGAAGAAAAAGAAATGTGCTGTCCATACCCTGGCACTCCTTTACCACCCATGTGTTTATTTCCTATTATTCATCCTAGCTTGAGCCAAAGAGATAATACTGTATTTGATAGTCTTTATTTGAACTTCTGAGTGTGGGGAGATAATTCTCTACAGGACTTGCATGTTTCTGCACATCTAGGGAACAGAGGCACTGACAACCTTTGCTCCAGATTATCTCTTTGGAAGATCATGACTCCCTCTGGAGCAGAGGGCAGGTCTGTTTACCATCCACTGTAATGAAGATAATGTCTCCTTTCGGGCAAAGGTTGGGTTTCTTTAAGCTGTTTTCCTCAGCTGTGAGGCAAAACCTCTGTGTGTGTGGCATCTACCTGGACATCTTCACATTGCCCCATGGATCTTGAGGGTGTTGAAGAGAGCAAGGGGAACCAACCCAGACATGAGGCTTGTGTTCCTTGTTGTGCTCTAAGTAGTAAAATCCTTTGCCTCTGAACCAGGAGCCTCATGTCTTCTGTAGGTGCCCATGACAACTGTGGCACAATAATCCTTTACAGTTCTTGACACTAGGTATTTGTTTAAAAACAAACAAACTAACAAAAACAGGATTATGGAATCCCAGCACTTTGGGGGACTGAGGAGGGCAGATTGCTTGAGGCCAGGAGTTCAAGACCAGTAACATGGTGAAACCCTGTCTCTACTAAAAATACAAAAATTAGCCAGGCATACACCTGTAGTACCGACTACGTAGGAGTCTGAGGTGGGAGAATCATCTGAGCCCGGGAAGTCCAGCTGCAGTGAGCCATGATCATGCCACTGCACTCAAGCCTGGGTCACAGAATGAGACCCTATCTCCAAAACAGAAAAAGCAGACTTTCGCCATGTTGCACAGGCTGGAGGGCAGTGGCTATTCACAGGCATAATCATCACACACTACAGCCTTGAACTCCTGGTCTCAAGTGATTCTCCCACTCCAGCCTCCTGAGCAGCTAAGACTATAGGCATCTGCCACCGCTGCCTGGCTAGGTATTTGCCTTTTGGGAAGTGAAAAATTAGCTGTAGTTCTGTGTTGTTTATTATTATTGTTTTTAACGTATTCTCATGGTTGATGAGTCTTATCCACATGGTGCCCTACTATATAGTTCTGGCTGACGTAGGGCTTTAAGCCAGCTGACTTATCCCTTCAAATATCAGAACACTTTGGCTTTCTATGAATCTGAGCTTCCTGTGGAAGTAGAGGGCATCCATATAAAAGGTGAATGTCTTATTGAAATACAAATGCCAAAGAGCTCTGGGTTCCAGGCCAGGCAGTGCTCTGCTTGCCATATAGAGTAGGTTCTTAACTATGCAAAGGAACATAAACCAAGTTAAGATTTGAGGAGGCTCATGCCTGTAATCCCAGCACTTTGGGAGGCTAAGGCAGGGAGATCGCCTGAGGTCAGGAGTTTGAGACCAGCCTGGGCAACATGGTGAAATCCCATCTCTACTAAAAATACAAAAAATTAGTCTGGCATGATGGTACATGCCTGTAGTCCCAGCTACTCGGGAGGCTGAGGCACAAGAATCGCTTGAACTTGGGAGGCAGAGGTTGCAGTGAGCTGAAATCACGCCACTGCACCCCAGCATGGACAACAGAGTGAGACTCCATCTAAGAAAAAAAAGATTTGAAGACACTGTGATCCAAGAAGCAATGACACAGAGGTGATAGTAGCCAAACAGGATTTGGCCATGAGATTATTCTAACCATGACCACTTTGGGAATGGGCAATGTAATATAACAGAAAGCCCTGTCTATAGGCACCTTATATTCCCCTCTTAAATATCTCCTTATTCAAATCATCAAAACTGTAACTTTAACAGATGGAGTTAATTTATCATTTAGAAGCAAGTATTAACTTTTTAGCCTTCAACCTGATCAGTTGGGTTGATCAATATATTCTGCTGAATTATAGAAACAAATATAAACTATTATTTAAACATTTTAGATTAGTAAAGAGAAGATCGGGGCCAGGCACAGTGGCTCACACCTGTAATCCCAGCACTTTGGGAGGCTGAGGTGGGCGGATCACCTGAGGTCAGGAGTTTGAGACCAGCCTGACCAACATGGAGAAACCTCATCTCTACTAAAAATACAAAATTAGCTGGGTGTGGTGACGCATGCCTGTAATCCCAGCTACCCTGGAGGCTGAGGCAGGAGAATCGCTTGAACCCGGGAGGCGGAGGTTGCGGTGAGCTGAGATCGTACCCTTGCACACCAGCCTGGGCAACAAGAGCAAAACTCTGTCTCAAAAAAAAAAATAATAA